TCCACCAAACCTCAGTGGTCGAATCAGGACTAAATCAATACTGAGGCTTCCCGAACCACGACAGTTATATGAAACTTTGCTTGTATTCACAGCTTCTGAGAGACATAAAAGGGCCGAAATGTTTTATCACTCCGGACCAGAAGAGTATTACCCAGGAATCAGTGTGTTCAAGGGAAGGCCAATAAAGGTATCATTTTATGCAGTTTTGTGAATTTTTTATTTTCTTAAAACTCCATTACTGAAGAGGGGCCCAACATTTTTATACTATCATATATTAAGTTATGTAAAGACCAAAACTGACGATTTCTGTCGAGACTCGTGCACAGATCTGAAAAAATGTTATTGTACCACCATTTTTTTAGGTGTCTTACCATTATTTGCATTTTTTGAATTTCTCTTAATGTCCAATTAAATATTGTATTAAGAACAATTTTGCATTAACAAGAATCTACAAAATATTGGACAAGGACTTGTCATGCTACAGCAACACATGTGAGAATTCATATAATTCCAATTACATTAGTACAGTAGGCGAATCAGTGTTATATTCAGTAGGTATGTAAGTAGTATGTAAGTGGAACATAACACTTCGGTGAGTGCGGCTGATACAAAGGTGTATGTTCACTAAAAATATATTATTAAGTGACCATAATAATCCCCAAAAAGTCAATACCTAATGAATATTAGGAATCATCCCAATATTTTACCAAGTACAGCATAATCTAGTTTATTTAAATGGTAATTTGTCTATTATTTGCAAAGGTCTTTTTAAAATTATTAAGGACATAACATTATTCAATATTTTGCTTTAGAATATTATTAATAATCTTGTATATATGGCAATATTTATTTGCCGCCTCGGCTTCACAGGATGATTATCTAAACATTATGATAGTCCTAAGGCAGATCCAGAGAGAGTGATGTTCACCTACCTCGCACCCCCAACCGTGTTAGAATACTTTTTTTTAAAAAATTGTACAGATGTAGATAAATTGTCAGCAGCCTTTTTTCTACTTTTGTGGGATGGGGATCATATATGAGAATAATTTTCAGGCTAATTTCATTATTTCAAAAATGAGAGGGTAATAAGGGCAGAAGACGGTTCCCCACGTAATTTAATCTTGTCCTCCTTTTTTTTCGCACTCCCTTCTGGAAATATCAACAACCTTTTCGCAAGTAAATTTAGTTTGATTTAATATTCTGTTAATCGGTATTTTAATTGTATTTGCAGCTTGATGAACTGTCATGTGAAAGTATTAATCATGTAAGTTACATTGAACTACAGTATTATAGGGAGCAAAGAAAATATGTACTAACATTCAAATTACTATTTCACACTACCAAGCAAGCTTCTGAGCTGATTGGCAATGGTTTTTTTCAGTACAATACTTTCTTTGCTCAACTACATGTGTCTATCTTATAAAATGAAAATTTTGTTATTATAAACATTTTTTAGTATTATTTTATTATTATTCATTGGAGGTTAGTTTTGAATTGTGTATAATTTTTTTTAATGCCTGAAACATGCATAATAAGATTCCTCTAAAGAAAAAACAAGGAAGCGCACACCAAAACAAGGGAAAAAATTGTGCATTTTCATTATATGTTGGATGCTATTACAATATTTTGAATTTTTGTCATAGGATACGAAGGATGATTACACATACATTTTATCTGATAAGAGCGAGACCATTAGCCGTGTCAAAAAAAGATCAAAAAAGGACATAAAAAACAAAAAAAAACTCAGGTATGTGCATTCAAACCAGTATTTATTTAAACAATAACAGTCATCATGATTA